TGATCTTTCTCTTGATGACATCAGAAAATTTACGGTCCTTCGCCATGCACCTCCAGCCGTAAGATTGCAGCTGGCAGGGGCAAGTTTTGACTCGAAAAGTTTCTCGGATCTTGTCACAGAAGCTGACCATTTAACTCAACGAGCCCGGCAAGATGCCATGGTTGTCGGGGCGGTCCATGATAAAGGCCGGGGAGGAAATTCGGGTCCTAAAAAGAGCCAAAGAAAAGTTTGCAATTCACATATAAAATTCGGAAATGGAGCGAGAACTTGCGCAGGAGAGAGTAAATGTATTTTGTGGTCCAAAGAGCTTCCCCCTCCCCGTGATTTCAATAAATCGGGAAACGACGTAGGCAAGCCGTCGAGAGGGTAGAAGGCAGCCTTTCAATTTCTTTACCCTCCAATCGTTCTTCATCTCCTGTTAAAAATTGTCCAATGGTTGATGACCGATCCCAACCAGCCGAAAATGTTAATTCACGTTGTACGGATAGTTCGTTTCAACAGGTCTCTCTTGGACGTCCATGGCCTCCTGTTCAGTCTCCGCATCCGTTCCCGGCTTTGGTCGGATCATGCTTGGAAAAACCAGCCAGCAGGTCAACTCCATTTCAAGTGGGAAGTTTCATGGTTGATTCCGGATCGCCGATCACCATTGTTCCGATCTTACCAGAGGAGAAGCATCTGCCATCGTCAGATTCAGGTTTAATCTCAGCAAGTGGAGCTCCTATCTTGATGTATGGTTCATCTCCAATCTCCGTCCCAATCAATGGAAAAAAGTTCGAGTTTACTGCGGCAAAATGCGATGTCGTGAGGCCTATCCTTGGAAGGGATTTCTTCGACGGCCCAGGACGTAACCTAGTGTTGGACATTGCCAATCGTGTTCTGATAGACAGATCTTCCGGGATCTCGTCCCCTCTCGGACTCAACGGTCGTGTGGTTGGCGCGCTAGCCACAGCAAAAGTCCCGCTTGACGCATCCGCTACTCCTTTCTATCCGGATCTTGAACTGACTGAGTGTCGCAAAAAGGCCAACCTGAAATTGGAAAAGTTCTGTGGTGAGGTTGGTGAGGATCCTGACGGGAGTGAACCGTGTCTTTTTTCTCAAATCAGAATCGAGACTGGGG